AAAAAAAAAAAAAAGCGACAAGGCATTTTCCTTTAAAGAATTGAGTGTGTGCCAGAACCTGTCAGACACGTTGCCTGTGTTTAAAGAAAAAGTTAGTTTAAGCGGTGGGGACTCTGAATGCCGCAGGGGACCAGGAGAGCCTGAGATAAGAGTCAGGACAATGCATTAGCTGTTTAGGGACAGTAATTAGACCAGACCTCAAACTAAATGCCAAGCCAAGAACTTTTACTTTAGGTAATGGGCACCCACTGGCTACTTTCTGAATGTGAGTTTGCATGTCTGTGTGTGAGATAATAAAAGCAGTATTTCAAGAAAATCAAATAGTGGTGTGTATGATGGATTAAACAGGTGAACAGTTCTGAGGCAAGTAGAACAGCAATGGAAGACCAAGGCTCAGAGAAGCCAAGTTCACTTTCACTCTCAGGATCTCAAGGTGCTGCCAGATCTGATCCAGATTCTTTATGCTAAGAGGAAAGAAAGCACATGGGGGTACAGTCTCCTTGATCACACATCCAAAAAATGGTCATGGATACCCTTCAGAGGTAATGAGGAAAAATCATTTTACCCAAGATTCTAATAAAACTCCAGGGACAGAGAAACCAGTCCTTCCAAGCTCGTCCCCAGCTGTTCAAGGCCCTCTTCACCATAGGCTTAACTCATGCCCAACCATACAAGACATGGGCATAGTGTCACATGACTGACCAGAATTTTAGGTCTTCTAATCTCATAAACATCAGAGGTAGGGAGAAATTTCCTCCAAATCTTTATTTCATGAGAGATTCAGAAGCTGAAAGGAGAAATTATTTGTACTCTAGCTGCAGCCAAAGGACATCAACATATTTACCTGCTCTATTTTCAACATCCTCAACTGCTACATTCAAACCCATCCTGCTTCAGGGAAGAAATGGTTTGGAGGAAAGGAGCCAGCTCAAGAGGAGATTTAGTGACCAATGTCGCTGGTGTGCTTGGTAAAGACAGATTTGATAGTGTGTTGGGAGAGAGACCTCAATGGGTTGAGGAAGAGAGTTAAGAATTGGAGACAATGTGGGAATCCCCTGGTGGTCCAGTGGTTAGGACTCTGTGCTTTCACTGCGGTTTTGATCCCTGGTTGGGGAACTAAGATCCTGCAAAAACTGGCTACAAAGGGAGATGATATAGGGAAAAAATGGGTTGGGGTTGAATTTTGTTTGGTTTTTAGGATGCAAGATACTTGAACATATTTGTACACAGCTGCGAAGGGGCAGTGGAGAAGAGAGGTGAAGATACAGGAAGAAGATGGGATAATGGGATGCGGTGAGGTCCCAGAGGGAGTGGAATAGAAAGCACAGACAGAAAGGTGACCCCCTAGATATGAGAAAAGGCAGTTCTATTAAGAAGGGAGCAAAGTTGGGTACAGTATATGAGAGATGTGTAAGGGAAAGGAATGGAAGCAGAAAGTTGAAAATGTTTCTGTGCAAAGGTCTCTACTTTCTTTGTGAAGAGATCACGTGCTAAGAAGGGCGGTGGGTGGGTGGTTAGATGTGCAAAGAGAGGGGGAGGTGTTTAGTGGTATTACAGACAATGGGAGAGAGTGCCGACTAGAATTGTATTAGTGTTGAGTGCCCAAAGGCCTATGTCTCCCTAGGTTTGTGATTTTCTTCCTCAACCCAGGTGCAGGCTCAGGGAAGGACAATTAGGACTGTCCATGGTAGTTTTCTTTTGGCCAGGTACACGTGACTGAAGAATGAGGCAAAAAGGATATTGGTAAAAGAGTGGCTGAAGTGTTGGACAGAGGTATCTAATAAGAAAGGGTAAAAACCAGGGAGGGACAACGGATAGAAAGGTCACTGGACTGGAGACCCGATGAGTTATAAGAACACAAAAATTAAACCATACAACAGTGCCTTGACTCCTTTGAAAAAGTTCAGATGGTCGAAAGAGCCTTTCCAACTCACTACAATTTGCCTTTTATGATATGGCATGTAATTTGCTCCCTTCCATCTTTCTTTCTTCCTTCCCTTCCCTTTCCTTTCTTCCTTTCCTTCTTTCTTTCTTTCTCTCTCTCTCTCCCTCCCCCTTCCTTCCTTCCTTTCTTTCTTTGATATCTTTGTCTGGTTTTGGTGTCAGGGTTTTGTTAACTCTTCTCTAAACGTTTGATAGAATTTGCCTGTGAAGCCATCTGGTCCTGGACTTTTGTTTGTTGCCTTCTACCATGTGAAAAAGTTGAGACCTCCTTATTTTCTCTGATTATTACTGTCTCAAAACCAGTTAAGCCACCTACAGGAATTAAAGTTCACTATCATATTTGCAAGATACTTATTGATTTGACCTCTTAATACTTTCAGCTTAACGCTAGCCTCTCCAAGAAAAATCTTAATTCAACTCTATAGTGCTATATAACTTTTCTCAGATTCACTGCTAACTTTATTATTCCAAGATATAGCATCCTACAGAAGGACAAATACTGCATGGTTCCACTTATACGAAGTACCTAAAATAGTCAAAGTCACAGAAGCAAAGCGTAGGATAGTGGTTGCCAGGGGTTGGGGGGAGGGAGAAATAGGGAGTTGCTGTTTGGCAGGTGCAGTTTCAGTTATGGAAGATAAGTAAGTTCTAGGGGTCTGCTGTTCAACACTGTGCCTATAGTTAAAAGACTGTGTCATACACTTAAAAATTTGTTAAGAGGGTTAATCTCATGTTGAGTGTTCTTACCACAAAAAAAATAAATAAATAAAAGAAGAAAAAAGATACAGCATCCTTGAAAATTTGTATAAATCCGCCCCACCCCCACTTTCCCCAATCCTTACCATTTACTTACACTAAGCCAAGCCCCTTCTGACTTCAAGTAGGATCAGGAAATGCAGAATCATGTAATTTTCCAGAAGGCTTTAGCCTGGGAGAATATGTTGTCTCCTTTCCTTCAAAATGCCTTAGATAATCACTGCCCATAGGAACTACTGACAAAAACATCTATCATTTGTTGTATACTATATGTCTAGAACTTTGCTAAATGCTTAACAAAACTGTCTCATTTAATCTTCACGATAGCCCAAGGGAGGTATTGTTATCTTGATTTTACATATGAGAAAACCAAGGCTCAGAAACATAAAAAAAAATTGCCTAAGATTACATAGATTAAAAGTGACAGAACCTGGATTTCAGTATGTCAGATTCCAAAGTGCCATTATACTTTAAAATCCTACAGAAGAGATTTCATCACAACTTCTACCCTTATATGAAAGAAGGTAACTGTCCTATGATTTACTAGTCACTTCCTTTTCCTAATTAAACTAGCTGCTTCTGTATCTGATTTTACTAGGAATGGAAGAACAAGCTCAAACTCTCTAATCTACTCTATTTATTGACATTTATTCTAATGAGAAAACATCAGGACCATTTTCAGACTTTTGGATTAGACTCTGTCCCAGGAAGAGCCATTCATTCTAGAGTTCAGGATATCACACCTATCTTATATTCCCTTGGTACAGTTCATATTATGGATAAAAAGATGGGAAAAGTTATTAGATTCCTGGTGCTGCTGAAGAAGACACACAAGGACACAATTTTGTGATGATGTAGGTGCTTTACAAGCAAGTTCTTCCATTTGCAAGATTTCCCTGTGGTGTGGAACCTCTGATGATAAAGTAAGGAGTGAAAATGTAATTAAAGGCTTACCCCATCAAGGTCTTTGTGGAAAGTGTTTAGGAAGGACAAATCTGCACACAGCCTGAGGCTGAACACTCTAAACTGAATCAGATGAAAATCACTCTTAAGAAGCTTAGAATTTTCCAAGTATTATAGTTACGATGGCTAAAGGTAGACACAACAGTATTTAAAAACAAATATATATATATATATATATATATATATATATATATATATATATATACACACATTTTATCATTACTGTCTTCCTAGGATTCTGTGTGGTGTCTCTGATGCTAAGACCTGAGCTCTGACTGAAAGTTTCTCCATACTCATTACATTCATGAACTTTCTCTCCGGTGTGAATTTTCTGATGCCTAACAAGGTCTGAGCTCCATCTGAAGGCTTTTCCACATTTATTACATTCATAGGGCTTTTCTCCACTATGAATCCTGTGATGTCGAATAAGGTCTGAGCTCTGATTAAAAGTCTTGCAACATTCATTGCATTCATAGGGTTTCTTTCCACTGTGAATTCTTTGATGCTGAATAAGTTGAGAGCTCCCCCTAAACGCTTTCCCACATTCACTGCATTTATAAGGCCTCTCACCAGTATGGATTCTCTGATGTTCTATAAGGACTGAGTTCCTGCCGAAGGTCTTTCCACATTCACTGCATTCAAAAGGTTTTTCTCCAGTGTGAATTGTTTGATATCTAATAAGATCTGAGCTGCCTAGGAAGGTTTTTCCACATTCATTATATTCATAAGATTTCTTTTCCTTGTGAATTCTCTCCTGTCCATTAAGTTCTGAATCTGAACTGAAAGCTTTCTCATATTCAAGTTTTTCTCCAATATGAAGTCTCTGATGTTTAAGAGAAACTGTGCACCCACAGAAGGCTTTTCCACATTCAGGGCATTTGTAGGGTTTCTCTCCACTATGGATTCTTTGATGCTGAATAAGAAGGGAACTCTGCCGGAGGGCTTTTCCACATTCGCTGCATTCATAGGGTTTCTCCCCAGTATGAATTCTCTGGTGGTTAACAAGATGGGAGCTCTGACTGAATGCTTTCCCACAGTCATTACATTCATAGGGTTTCTCTCCACTGTGAATGCTGTGATGGATAATAAGATCTGAGCTTTGATTGAAGGCCTTCCCACATTCATTACATACATATGGCTTCCCTCCACTATGAATTCTCTGGTGCAGGATAAGATTTGAGCTTTCCCTGAAAGCTCTTCCACACTGATTACATTCATAGGGATTCTCCTTGGTATGAATTCGTGGATGTCACATGAGATTGGAGCTCAGCTAAAATCTTTGCCTTAGTCACCACCAACATAAGGCTTCCTTCCCGTGTGAATTCTCTGACGTATAACCAAGTTAGAGCTCCTGGTGAAGACCTTTCCGCATTCATTGCACTAACAGCTTCTCTTTACGGTATGGATTTTCTGATGCTGAGTAAGTCCTGACTTCTGTTTGAAGCTCTGGCCACATGCCTTGCACCTATAGGTTCTTTCCTCTGTTGAAACTCTCTGATGTGTAACAGTTGGGGTCAGATCACAAATTCTCAGTTTCTTATCAATGTCAAGCTTTCCTTTCTTAAGGGTAATGCTCACTTGGCTGAACCCCTTTTCCTCAAAAGAAGAGTGTAGCAGTCCAGCCTCTGCTGAGTTTACCTGTTGCCTCTCCAAGCTGTTCTCACTTTCCCTGGGTCCTAAGAATTTAGATCCATGGGGTATTTGTACTGGGTGTCCTGATCCTGTTTCTTCAGAAATTTCCTGCTTTAGCTTCCATTCCTCCTTCTCGGTTTTCTTTTCATTATCTGAAACATAAGTTAAAAGTATAAATGCTGTGATGGATAATCAGATCTGAGCTTTGATTTAAGGCCTTTCCCACATTCGTTACATATATATGGCTTCCCTCCACTATGCTAGGAGAAAAGAAATTCTTATAAGGGGAAACAAATGTTCAAAGTAAAACATTTCTATGATTGGGTTATGCTTCTAGATTCTCAAAAATGGTGTTATAATCTGGGAAAGAGAAAGGCTTCTAAACCTAACTTTGGTCTCTATGGTCTATAAAAGCAGTTCCCAAACTCGGCTGATTGTCAGAAACACACGGGAGAGCTACTGAATCAGACTTTGAGTCCACATCATTCTCTCGGCAAACTGTCTTTTTCCTTTAGTACCTTAGCTCCTGGATCTTAAAATTTCCTTTATGCAAAAGACCAGCCCTGTATTAATTAGATTTCTTTAGTTCCACTTCCAAAATCTTAGAAAAGAGAATCAGTTATCCCAGTTTAGGTCAAGTGTTGACTTTGACTGTAATTGGTGGTGGTAGGGGCTAGGGGGTATCACACAGGATAAACTTGGTTGCTGGGAGCCCACCTCTGGAGGTGAGAAGGGCAGTTAGGTGGATCATGGTGAGCAACCTTGATACTTCAAGAGTTGTTTATGACATATTTTTGCCTGAGAGGTGAGACCCTTAGTTACAGTTTCATCTTCTTGGCCATTTAGTGGATATACCCAATAAATAGGGAGAAGAATGGCAAGTAGTTTTATCTCAACTGTCAACCATGAAGGACTGAAAAGTAATTGCCTCAAAGCACCACTTTAAATGCAGAGGCTGTCTCTGGGCCCAGTAAGAACACAGCACTGTGCCGGATTACATAAGTCTGTGGGGAAGTATAGAGAGTAGTGGAGGTAAAGGAAGGATGGGTGGGCTTGCTATCCCTTCAAAGGAGCAAAGTAAAGATGCCAATAGAACTTGGAAGAGATTACTCTTTAATAATAAACCAGCAAGTATCAACATATAATGGCTGAAATTATCCACATGCAGAAATAACTCAAAGAAGTAAGGAAATCCTGGAATTCCTAAGTCCAATCACAGTTACCAGGACCTGGTTTCAGAGGAGCACTGGATGCAGTATGATTATAATAATCAAGACAGGGGAACTTAATCAATTGTCTTAAACCTGACATGAAGAAACACTAGGTTTCTACATCTAGAAAAGATGGACTCAGAGAGCAAAAATGTGCCTGTGCCTCCAGCACTGGTTCAGGGGAGGGTGCTCACTCCACCTCATGGGGGTATTCTCTGTCCCCTTGGCAGACACCTGCCCTCCTCCCAAGAGCACGTAGATATACCAAGTGATCAGAGCAGGATGACATCTGCATTAATATTACCTGACAATGCCCTTGCTTTGTTTCCATGCCCACTAAGCAAACTTTTCTTTCTTTTTTTTTTTTTTTGGCTGCCTTGGATCTTTGTTGCTGCGTGTGGGCTTTTCTCTAGTTGCGGCGAGCGGGGCCTACTCTTTGTTGTGGTGTGTGGGCCTCTCATTGGGTAGCTTCTCTTGTTGCCGAGCACGGGTTCTAGGCACATGGGCTTCAGCAGCTGTGGCGTGCAGGCTCAGTAGTTGTGCCTCGCGGGCTCTAGAGCGCAGGCTCAGTAGTTGTGGCACATGGGCTTACTTGCTCTGTGGCATGTGGGATCTTCCTGGACCAGGGCTCAAACCCGTGTCCCCTGCTTTGGCAGGAGGATTTCCAACCACTGTGCCACCAGGGAAGCCCTAAGCAAACTTCTAATTAGAATTTTCCTTCCTCTATAGGTTTTCCTAGATAGAAAATGTGTTGACAGCCCACTCAATTTCTGATCAGGCAGTTGTATTTTCCCCTGTTTTTTATACCACTTTCTTGTGGTTTGGGTAGGTCTATTTCCCTGGCCTGAATAATTCTGGATAGGTACACTGACAAAGTAAAATTTCTGGACCTGGAAAGTGTAGGACCAGACCCTGAAATCTGGTGATCAGAGCATAAGGCCCAGCTAAAGAGCCAGTTGGACTTCCTGAACAAAATCTATATCTCACAACCAAATGAAATGGTGAATATTTTCTCTTGGAAACCAGATTATTTCTAAATTTACAATTCTGAAACTGACATGTTTTTCTAATATTCTTGTCTCTGGTAATGCCCTGCCCCAAGCTCCTAATCTTACATTATTCTTGAATAATTTTTCCCTACTGTGCTGCATTAAATGGTGTCCCCCTAAAATTCATGTCTACCTGGCACCTATGCATGTGACCTTATTTGGATATAGGGTCTTTGAAGATGTAATCAAGTTAAGATGATGTCATTAGGGTGGGCCCTGAATCCAATATGACTGGTGTCATTATAAGAAGAGGGAGGGCTTCCCTGGTGGCGCAGTGGTTGGGAGTCCGCCTGCCGATGCAGGGGACGCGGGTTTGTGCCCTGGTCCGGGAGGATCCCACATGCCGCAGAGCGGCTTTGCCCGTGAGCCATGGCTGCTGAGCCTGCGTGTCCGGAGCCTGTGCTCCGCGGCAGGAGAGGCCGCAGCGGTGAGAGGCCCACGTACCGCAAAAAAAAAAAAAAAAAAAAGGGAAATTTGGACAGAGAACCGGAAGTAAGACAACCATATGAAGATGGAGGCAGATATTAGAATTATGCTGCCACAAACCAAGGAACTCCTAGGGCTACCAGAAGTTGGAAGAGGCATGAAAGGATCCTTCCCTAGAGGCTTCAGAGGGAGCATGGCCCAGCCAACAGTTTGATTTTGGACTTGTAGCCTCTGTAACAGTGAGGGAATAAATTTCTGTTGTTTTAAGCCACTCAGTTTGTGGTAATTAGGAAACTAATACGCTTACTATGAAGTCCAGTTAATTTTCCAGAAAAAAATGTCATTCTTTCCATTCCCGTAATTTCCCCCTGGCACCACTCATGGCTTTCCAGATTTCAGTAGATTACCATAAGAGACTGGAGCATAGTCATTAGGAACATGGGCTCTGGACATAGGCTGCCTTGTCTGCCTCTACCATTTATTTGCCGTGTGACCTTCAGTTACTTAACATTTCTGTGCCTTTGTTTCCTCATCTGTCAAATGTGGACAGTAATAGCATTTAAAAGAGGTTTTGTGGGGATTAAATACATGTAAAGTGCTTAAAATGACACCTGGCAGAGTTAGCGCTCAATAAATAATGGATAGTTTAAATTTTGTTACTTGGTTAATGATCTTGACACCCAGATTTTCCCGCTTCAGTTCAGACTGGACAATGCTGTTAGTTATGCATCACTTTCGTCATGTTAATCACTGTTCAGAAACCTTTAATTCTGTTTATTACTGTACCAAATCTAACTTACTTTAGTTGAGTGCAGGAATTACTGCAAGGCATCAGGATGTCTCATTTTATTTGCTAGAGGCATTTTTGGGGGGTGGGGGTGGGAGGGACGAGCACTGGCGCAGTGAGCCTGACTTTCTAGATAATAGTTCAAAACGGAACAGAGACGGTTCTGTATCCCAGAGGGATTCAGAGGTCTGTGATGCTTGTTCCAAATCCAAGAAGCCACCAACCTGACCCTCATCCAACCCAGAAGAAACTTTGTTTTGCGAAGGTCACAAGGTCCCCATAAATAACTCTTGGAGTCACTGAAGAAGCTCCTTACCCAGCATGACCTTGTCCCCTTCACTCTCCCGCACTCGGTTCTCGCGGAGACCGCCTTGTGCGTGGACTGGCAGCGCACCCGGCCTGGCCGCATCCCGTAAGGTCTCTGCTCCCGTAGATAACAGCCCTGGAGGCACTGAGCCAGGAAGGGCCATCCTGCCTACCTGGGCTGGGTGGGCCGCCCAGAGGACCTCAGCTGCGGGCTGGGGCTGCAAGCGGGAGACCACGGGATGAGACCGTGACTGACTGGGGCCCTGGCGGCTGGGCCAGACCGTCGGAGCCAGAGACCTGAGCCCAGGAGCCCAGCGCCGCACGCACCGCCACTACGGGGCCTCGCCGCCGGGCCACCCTCAGTGTCCCCATCACTTAATGCTACCTCTGCCGCTTCGGCCATTGTGTCCCCCCCACCCCCACCAGCAACTTGTCACGGGTGGAGCCGCGGCCAGCCAGGGGAGGCTTGGGGTCAGGCCAGCCCGCCCCTCGCCCTGCACCCCTGGGGCGCAAGAACCGGATGGCCACCAAGTCCAGTCCTTCGGTCTTCCTAGACAAGCCCGGGGAGTGGGGACGCCGCACTTCCACCCACGTGAGCTGCAGTCTCCTCCCCAGTCACTGAGCTTGCAAAGATGCAGATCCGGTTTTTGTCTAGGGTGTGCTCTGTCTAGTGTGGTGACTAGAAAGTTGAAATTACTGTGTTGTGGTGGCTGTGGCCAGTGGGAACAGGGTGGAAGCGCTCAACTCCGACTGGGTGTGTGTCAGGGAAGGCGACCGGGGAGAATGAGGTGAACGTGAAGGAGTTGGGAGACACAATACTTCAGTGCCTAAGAAAATGGGCTTTGGAGTCAGGCAGTCCTGGGCTTGAATCCCAGTTTCTTCACTTACTAGTTTCGGGTCTCTGGGCAAATTACGTCGCCTTTTTGACCTTAATTTCCTGTGTAGAAAATGGGGATAACAGTAGTACCCACCAATTAAGACTGAGCCAAAGAATGCAAGAGGAAATTGGTGGTAGGTCCTTGTCACAGTACCCAACACATGGGAAGTACTAAAAAAATAGTGGAGCTAGGTAAGGAGGGAGAGAGCCCTCCTAGCAGAGGGAACAGCTCGTGGAAAGGCAAGAGGGTAGTGCCTAGGTGCTTGGGGAACTGCAGATATTTCAGGGGTAAATGTTGGGTTTAGAAAGGTGAGTACTTTGCAGAAAGGTCCCCACTGCAGTATCATGCCTCTCCTTTGTGCCAGTTCCAATGGTTGTAATTTAACTTAAGATTCTAATTAGGGCTTCCCTGGTGGCACAGTGGTGGAGAGCCCGCCTGCCGATGCAGGGGACACGGGTTTGTGCCCCGGTCCGGGAAGATCCCACATGCCGCGGAGCGGCTAGGCCCGTGAGCCATGGCCGCTGAGCCTGCGCGTCCGGAGCCTGGGCTCTCCCCAACGGGAGAGGCCACAACGGTGAGAGGCCCGCATACCGCAAAAAAAAAAAAAAAAAAAAGATTCTAATTAATCTCTCCTCTGCTATTATAAATAAGCTCCAGGACAGAGACTGTTGTCTGTTTCTGCTCTTCATACCCCCCAGTGCTTGTGGTATATTAGAAGCTCAATAAATATTTATCGAAGGAGTGGGTGAATGGGGCCAGATCAGGACATGTGTCCCCGCTAAGGACTGGGCTTCAGGCTCCGGTTAGTGGGAAACCACTGTAGAAGTCCGGAGAGGGGTGGCACTATCAGATTTATTCTAAAGAACGATCATTCAGGCTGCTCTGTACAGAAATGGAAGCAGGGAGGCTGTGGTAATAACACGAGATGAAGATGGTGGCTTCTTTAAATAAGGGCATCAAAAATTAAGAAAAGTGGACTAAATTGGCACATTATTGGGTAACATTCCCTTCCTCTACTATATTCACACACTCTCTCTCCCCAGGTTGTAGCAGTCTTGTTTCCTATGACATCTTTACATGGAGCCAACGCTTAACCCACGTTCCAATCACCCCTGTTCCTCAAAGAGATTTGATGCTCTCTCAGCTTTTGTCTTGAGTTTAGTTCTTTAGCTTTTTAAGGTCTCATGAAGGTAAATTTTCATCCTTCAGGCTCTTTTCCCAAAGTTCCAGTGTAGGCTACTCCCTAACAGGTAGATCTTATTCTGTGGCACTCAGGTTTACAAATTGGACAGGAATTTTAATACTTAAGTCTGGTTATGTCATACCAATCAGAAGTATGATTAGTGGTTATACATGAATTTGAATAGCAAAAAATAAAAGAATTATTCTTTAATAAATGCAGTTTGGCAAACAAAAGCTTTTGAAACACAGGGCACAAGGGAGTAAAAAAGAGGGCTTTGGTGTTTAAAAGTCAGAAACCACTGCATTAAATTACCTTCAAGTCCATTTTCAATATCCTGCTTATCCTAAAAAACATCACTCTCACTGTACAGCACTATAATACAGGTAAAGGAGATGGGGAAAGTCTTTTCAGAATTAACTTCCAATTCCTTTCTTTTATAAAAATAAAATGCAAATATGTTCTGGTTAGCTAAAGGTTTTGAATAGAGTCTGGGATAACTCAAAAAATTTAAGTATCTTTAATTTTTAATCCAAGTGTATCACTGAGGATAGCTATTTTGAATTCCTTTTGCATCTCAAATATATTTAAAGATATTCTGATATAAAAAGACCATTCAGTAATTTATGTGAAGTTGCTAAAGAGCTTAAACCTTTGAGGCAGGTGATGGGGGCAGGCAGGCTCCTGGACCCCTTGTGCCACACATCATCCACAGGCAGGCAGCCAGCTTTCTTTCTTTCTTTTTATTTTGGCTGCACCACATGGCCTGCAGAGATCTTAGTTCCCCAACCAGGAATCGAACCTGGGCCCAGGGCAGTGAAAGCACTGAGTCTTAACCACTGGACTGCCAGGGAATTCCCCAGGAGCCAGCTTTCAGGGATGATGTGGATGGGCTTCTCCACTTCAAGATATCCCACTACTGTTCAGGATGCCCCTCGGGGGAAGCCATAGCCCCCAGTGCTTTGAACTTTAAGGGGTCATATTCTTTTTTTTTTTTTTTAAATAAATTTAATTATTTATTCATTTATTTTAGGCTGTGTTGGGTCTTCGTTGCTGCGCGCGGGCTTTCTCTAGTTGTGGCGAGCGGGGGCTACTCTTCGCTGTGGTGCGTAGGCTTCTCATTGCGGTGGCTTCTCTTGTTGCGGAGCACAGCTTCTAGGCGCACAGGCGTCAGTGGTTGTGGCACGTGGGCTCAGTGATTGTGGCTCTCGGGCTCTAGAGCACAGGTTCAGTAGTTGTGGCGCACAGGCTTAGTTGCTCCACGGCATGTGGGATCTGCCCGGACCAGGACTCGAATCCATGTCCCCTGCATTGGCAGGCGGATTCTTAACCACTGTGCCACCAGGGAAGTCCCAGGGGGTCATATTCTTTACACCAGCCATGGGACTCCACTGTATCTTACACATTATATATTTTGCTTGTAAATACTTCATCTTCTATTTTAACATGACTGAAGCTCTAGATGTCCTTCTATGTGTCAACAGTAATTTCAGTTTTCTCATTTAAACCTCACAATTACACCATGAGGTAGATAATTTTATCACCATATTATTAGGAAAATAAGGATCAGGGTTACATAATTTGTTCCAGGTCCTGAAGCCAATATGTCATACTGGGATTCAAACCCACATCTGTGCTCCCTCCACTACACCACGTTGCTTCTCCTGAAACAGTTCATCAAACTACAGTTTTCTATCAGACTCTGGGTTCCCCTTGGGATGCACTGCCACCACCCACATCACACTGAAGTGCTTGCTTAAGTGGCCCCAGGTGACATGTTCTAAATATCCAAGGGCATGGTTTCTCAACCATGACACTATTGACACTTAGGGCCAGATAATCCTTCGTTGGGGAGGACCTATGTATTGTAAGATATTTAGCAACATTCCTGGTCTTTAGATGCCAATATTTTCTTCTCAGTTGCGACAACCACAATGTCTCTGGACATTGCCAAATGTCCTCTCGGAGGCAAAATCACCCCCGCTGAGAACCACTGATCCCCTCTGTGCATCTCACAAGCCACTCCCACTGAGGAAAGATATGAGCTCGAAATTCTTGCCTTACACTGTCCCATTCAGTAACTTTCTTATCTGCTGATTTGTGTAAGTTCATATACAATCTGCCAGTAGCTCAGGGTACAAGAAATATTTGACGATTGAGTTTGATTGCACAGATATGCAATGCACAGATATAAATGCAGGGCCTAATTACCAATATCAGTTATCAGGTTAAAGATGACTCATCTCTTTTTTCTTTTTACATTTTCACAAGCTTTTTATTTTTATTTATTTATTTTATTTTATTTATTTTTTTAATTTATTTTTTATTTAACTTTTTTTAGTTCTTGATAAATATTTTTTTAACATCTTCATTGGCGTATAATTGCTTTACAATGGTGTGTTTCTGCTTTATAACAAAGTGAATCAGCTATAAATATAGATATATCCCCATATCTCCTCCCTCTTGTGTCTCCCTCCCATCCTCCCTACCCCACCCCTCTAGGTGGTCACAAAGCACCAAGCTTATCTCCCTGTGCTATGTGGCTGCTTCCCACTAGCTATCTATTTTACATTTGGTAGTGTATATATGTCCATGCCACTCTCTCAGTTCGTTCCAGCTTACACTTTCCCCTCCCCGTGTCCTCAAGTCCATTCTCTATGTCTGCGTCTTTATTCCTGTCCTGCCCCTAGGTTCTTCAGAACCATTTTTTTTTTTTAGATTCCATATATATGTGTTAGCATACGGTATTTGTTTTTCTCTTTCTGACTTCACTCTGTATGACAGTCTCTAGGTCTATCCACCTTACTACAAATAACTCAGTTTCGTTTCTTTATATGGCTGAGTAATATTCCATTGTATATATGTGCCACATCTTCTTTATCCATTCATCTGTTGATGGACACTTAGGTTGCTTCCATGTCCTGGCGATTGTAAATAGAGCTGCAATGAACATTGTGGTATGTGACTATTTTTGAATTATGGTTTTCTCAGGGTATATGCCCAGTAGTGGGATGGCTGGGTCATATGGTAGTTCTATTTTTAGTTTTTTAAGGAACCTCCATACTGTTCTCCATAGTGGCTGTATCAATTTACATTCCCACCAACA